GGAAAGTAGCCTAAACATTAGAACATTAAGTGAACTTCAGGAAAGTAAAGAGAATTTCGTGGTAAATTAGACATTTTAGGGGAAGTTCCGTGAGCTTCAAAGAAGTTTTCTAAACTACTGTATAATTACAGGAACTTCAAGGAAGATCAATGAAATTCAATGCAGTTTCATTAACATCAGTTAAATTGAGGGAGCTTTTAAAAATACTGACAAACTCAGGTAAGTTCAAAGAACTTCAACGAAGTTCAGAGAACTTCAACGAAGTTCAGAGAACTTCAACGAAGTTCAGAGAACTTCAACGAAGTTCAGAGAACTTCAACGAAGTTCAGAGAACTTCAACGAAGTTCAGAGAACTTCAACGAAGTTCAGAGAACTTCAACGAAGTTCAGAGAACTTCAACGAAGTTCAGAGAACTTCAACGAAGTTCAGAGAACTTCAACGAAGTTCAGAGAACTTCAACGAAGTTCAGAGAACTTCAACGAAGTTCAGAGAACTTCAACGAAGTTCAGAGAACTTCAACGAAGTTCAGAGAACTTCAACGAAGTTCAGAGAACTTCAACGAAGTTCAGAGAACTTCAACGAAGTTCAGAGAACTTCAACGAAGTTCAGAGAACTTCAACGAAGTTCAGAGAACTTCAACGAAGTTCAGAGAACTTCAACGAAGTTCAGAGAACTTCAACGAAGTTCAGAGAACTTCAACGAAGTTCAGAGAACTTCAACGAAGTTCAGAGAACTTCAACGAAGTTCAGAGAACTTCAACGAAGTTCAGAGAACTTCAACGAAGTTCAGAGAACTTCAACGAAGTTCAGAGAACTTCAACGAAGTTCAGAGAACTTCAACGAAGTTCAGAGAACTTCAACGAAGTTCAGAGAACTTCAACGAAGTTCAGAGAACTTCAACGAAGTTCAGAGAACTTCAACGAAGTTCAGAGAACTTCAACGAAGTTCAGAGAACTTCAACGAAGTTCAGAGAACTTCAACGAAGTTCAGAGAACTTCAACGAAGTTCAGAGAACTTCAACGAAGTTCAGAGAACTTCAACGAAGTTCAGAGAACTTCAACGAAGTTCAGAGAACTTCAACGAAGTTCAGAGAACTTCAACGAAGTTCAGAGAACTTCAACGAAGTTCAGAGAACTTCAACGAAGTTCAGAGAACTTCAACGAAGTTCAGAGAACTTCAACGAAGTTCAGAGAACTTCAACGAAGTTCAGAGAACTTCAACGAAGTTCAGAGAACTTCAACGAAGTTCAGAGAACTTCAACGAAGTTCAGAGAACTTCAACGAAGTTCAGAGAACTTCAACGAAGTTCAGAGAACTTCAACGAAGTTCAGAGAACTTCAACGAAGTTCAGAGAACTTCAACGAAGTTCAGAGAACTTCAACGAAGTTCAGAGAACTTCAACGAAGTTCAGAGAACTTCAACGAAGTTCAGAGAACTTCAACGAAGTTCAGAGAACTTCAACGAAGTTCAGAGAACTTCAACGAAGTTCAGAGTACTTCAACGAAGTTCAGAGTACTTCAACGAAGTTCAGAGTACTTCAACGAAGTTCAGAGTACTTCAACGAAGTTCAGAGAACTTCAACGAAGTTCAGAGAACTTCAACGAAGTTCAGAGAACTTCAACGAAGTTCAGAGAACTTCAACGAAGTTCAGAGAACTTCAACGAAGTTCAGAGAACTTCAACGAAGTTCAGAGAACTTCAACGAAGTTCAGAGAACTTCAACGAAGTTCAGAGAACTTCAACGAAGTTCAGAGAACTTCAACGAAGTTCAGAGAACTTCAACGAAGTTCAGAGAACTTCAATGAAGTTCAGAGAACTTCAACGAAGTTCAGAGAACTTCAACGAAGTTCAGAGAACTTCAACGAAGTTCAGAGAACTTCAACGAAGGTTATGGGTTGTAGGGCAGTACAATAAAGTTCAGGAGAACTGCGAGAACTTTAGAGACATTCCGATAACTTAAGGAAAAATACACGATCTCTCAAGGAATTCCGAGGAAGTATGGGATATTCCCAAAATTTCAGGAATGTTCCGAAAACAACATTTGAAAACTATAGATTTTAAGGGAAGTTCCGTGAACGTCAAGAACATTTTGAAAATTCTGGAAAATTACAGCAACTTCATTAAAGATCAAGGAAATTCAAGGCAATTCCATTAACTTCAGTAAATTTTCAGGGTTCTGAGAAATTCAGGTAAGTCTAGAGAATTTTAAAGAAGACTATAAGAAAAAATTCAGGGCAGTTCCATTAACTTCAGCAGAATTACAAAGAATGTCCATGGTTGTTAGAAAATTTGAATGAAATTTAGAATAGGGTTAACTACCTCATTTTTGGCCTATTAAGCACAACCCGCATTTAGTCTTTCTTAATCTAGCGCAGTTTAGCACCAAACGGAATGTTATTATTACTGATGGCTTCCAAATTTATTTACCTTTCTGTACGTACCGTAAGATTTGATAAAAAGGAACCAATCTTTGAGATATTGTCAAAAGTCTAACACTGCTTCTTGACGCCAAACTCGGAGTACGGATTATAAACTCGGCCTAACGCATTGAAACGCCATTGAAACGCAAATGAATTCACTTCGGCCTATCGGATGAAGATAAAAATTGATTCGGTCGGAGCGCTTCTTTTGTTTTTGGGAATAATGGGCGCAAACCTTCATATCACGCGTTCTCATTGACTTCGTTCCGCAGCTTATTAGCTAAAGTATCGTACCAAACGCATAATTGACTTGGTAACTTTAAAATCATGGATATATTTGAAGTTTTCTGCACGATAGGCCCAAAATGGGCGATTAGGCCGAAATAGTCCTCTACCCTAGTTGAAGATGCTAATTTCAAATAACAAACTAAAGTGGTAATTTTTATACGGTAGATGAGGAGATGAAGTATAGAATTGATAGTTCCATTAGAGTAAGGCAGTGTGAAAATTGCATATAGAGAGTAGAAAGCAAGCAAGGACAACTTTAGGAAAGTACAAATCAGTTTGATCATCTTTTTTTTACCAAACGCACCCGTTGGAGAGGGATGGTGAGGGGTATTCCCTCCGCCGCGACTGGCAAAAAGAGATAATCACCGACACGCTCAAGTACCGACGATGTGTTTGAAACAGCTCTATCGATTTTTATCGCACTTAAGTTGTTATCTGAAGGAAAGCATACCCCTCACCGTCCCTCTCCAACGGGGGAGTTTGGTAAAGAGAGGTGATCAAACCGATTTGTACCTTCTTAAAGTTGTCCTTGCTCGCTTTCTACTCTCTATATGCAATTTTCGCACCGCCGTACTCTAACGAAACTATCAATTCTATGCTTTCATCTCCTCATCTATCGTATAAAATTACCACTTTAGTGTGTTATTTGAAATAAGTATCTTCAACTATGTAAATCGTTGACTTCACGCAGAAGTAATACTAAACATATAGTCAACGAACTTTAGAAGTTCAGAGAAGATTTCAGTATTTAAGGCAAGTACCATGCTTACAAAAAGGTACAATCATTTCGAAAGAACTTAACGGGAGTTGCATTCAGTTCGGGGAAACTTTTAAAATATGTTGAGGACTTAAGAATAGTCCAGTTTGCTTAGAGGAAATCTTTAAAATCTTAAAGAAGTCCACATAAATGCGAGAAATTCCAGTAAAATTTACGAAACTTTAAAGATCTTTAGGGAAGTTACGTGAACATTTGTAAAAAAAGTGCCGTTATCTTCAGATGGCTTTCCAAAAAAAATAGGATAGAGAACTACTTCGGCCTGATCGCCCATTTTGGGCCTATCGAGCAGAAAACATCAAATAAATCCATGATTTCAGAGTTAACAAGTCAATTATGGGTTTGGTACAATACTTTAGTTAATAAGCTACCGAACGAAGTCAATGAGAACACGTGATATGAAGGTTTGCACCCATAATTCTTCTTTTTATCTTCATCCGATAGGCCGAAGTGAATTCATTGGCGTTTCAATGGCGCTTCAATGCGTTAGGCCGAGTATAGAATCCGTAGGCCAAGTTTGACGTCAAGAAGCAGTGTTCGATTTTTGACAATATATCAACGATTGGTTTCTCTTTATCAAATCTTACGGTACGTACAGAAAGGTAAATAAATTTGGAAGCCATCAGTAATAATAACATTCCGTTTGGTCCTAAACTGTGCTAGATAAAGAAAGACTAAGTGCGGGTTGTGCTTAATAGGCCGGAAATGGGGTAGTTAACCCATGCACGGTAAATTTACTTTGATTAATTTTGCCAAACAATAAAAACAAAAAACCTAAGTACCAAAAATTGAGCGCTCCTAATATGTTGAAAATAAAGTTTGTATAAAAGCTCTGTGTAAATGCTACCTTATCTAAACTTTTAAAGTCGGTCACTTAAAGATTGACAAAAATAGAAAATCAAATAAAAAAAAACTAATAGTCTCAATATTAAATATTTCAAACATTAGAAATTAATTGAAACTGCATTGCAGTCAGATTTAAAATGCTATACAGGTGTCCAGATAATTAATGGGAGATTGTATTATTTTTTTTCGAATTGAGAAGTTTTTATCCGTTGAATGGTTTATTATGTGATTTTGAAGTCATTATAATCCAAAATATTTCAAAGTTCAATGTTTCGAAAGCTTTTGCAAAAGTAATTAAAGTTCAAAAAATACTGAAACTGCTTAAATGCCTCTCTAAGTTTCTAAATCAATCGTTTCATATCGAAGTACCCTGATCACTTTTCCATCAAACGGCTTTCTATCGATCTATGGTGCTATTTAATTCACTGAATCTTCTTCGGGCGCTATTTCACCTTTAACCTCATTCCGCAATCAAATTCTCGCCAAAAACAAGAAACTAACTAGCACACAGTTTCCCGCAATTGAGTAATATCATATCCCAATCAGCACGTTCGTCGCTTTCCCATTGAAGTCTCCGACGAAATCAGTCCCAAAAAGCATGCCACTTCTCACGCACCCGCTCTAATCCGCGAACAGATGAAAACAAAAATTGCAATCCCGCCCAAACAACTCACCCCTTGCCGTCGGGAGCTCGCTCGTGGACGATTCTGCTGGCACAGAGCTGCGGATTCGGAGCCTCCAGCACTCTTCCGTTGGGGAACTGGGCCATCGAGAGGCCCACCAAGGCGGCGAACACGACCAATCGCTTCATTTTGTGTTTTGATTGGTTCAACTTTGGTTTAATCACTCAGTCGCACTGCAAAGCACCGGATCGGATCGATGAAATGAAAGAAAATCGTTAGCACTCTGTCGTTTCCCACAGCACAAGCAAACAAAAAAACAAAAACAAGAATTATTGCACAGTCAAACAATCACATGAAACTCTTGCAAAGCTTGATCACGATCAACCGCAGTTTTATCTTTTAAACGATAGGAAACAATTTCACTTCGGTTGAAAGCACCAAACAAACAAACAAACATGTATTTGGAAACAACTTGAAACACCGTGTCGGCATGGTACCGTACCTCCTACTGTTGTTGGTCGCACACGTCTGTATTATCGAGACTGGGCAAAAAACCCGATGCTACACCTTTATTTATAGAGGAGAAGCACGGCCGGGATGCGGTACACGGTGGAGATGCAAGAAGGCCCCCAGACAATAGCGATGTTGCGCGACGGCTTGAATCAGCCGTATGTTGCGCGATTGTCCCATACCGGTCGACTTGTGTACCGTGTAGTGTAGCTTCTGGTGAGAAGAGAAACAATTTGACTTATGTTTATCATTGCTATATCCGCATTTTCTAATCTACCATCTAATGAACCAAAACTTGAACCAAGGAAACGAAACAAACTTGAAATACCATCAGAACGATCTAATCTTTTTGCAGCTATCAGTTTACAGTTAGTGGAATTTCTATTCAGATATAGAATAGTTTGAAATATACCAGTGAAACGCTACACTAGGCTTTCGAAAGCTAATGAGATTTAAAAAAAAAACAATTTTTCGTTAAACCGAAGACAACAAATCAAGAAGACTGGCAACTCTTCCATTTTCGCATACAAATGCTATGAGACAGGTACAATCGCGTCATCTGCTGCTCAAAGGTAAATGCTTCGAACGAATTTGATAGCAAAGATTGCATCCTCAGAAGAAGGGTTTGTGTATTTGCTCATTTTTCTATGCGTTGCTTCCACCTTCACTCAAGTGCAACGCTATCCGAACGACTTTGGGGGAAGTACCCTTGCTCTAAGCCGGTCCTCTTACTTGGACGCCATTTTGGTTTGTTCAAGTTTTTGTAAGGATCGATTAAAAGAAATGCGTCAAGTTTAAGTCGACCAAATTTTGACCGAACACCCTTTATACAGTTTGGAATTTTGAACCCTTGGCGTAGAAGAGCATGGATTGTGTCATTAACTTAAATTTTATGTCATGAGTCGTAAACGCCTTCTTCCACAACGTTATATTATTAACAAATGCTCCTTTATTGTTTGCATTATAAAAAGGCTACGGAAAACATAAATTTACCTACATAAGAAGATTACAGATCCAACGCCGAGAACTCAGCCACCTCGAATACGTCCGACACAACGCCGGTCATGAAGTCGGTAAACATTCGCAAGGGAGTGCCGTGAGAACACCTTTTGAACCGCACCCAGTCCAGCTTATAGCTTGAAGGCATTTTGTCCACCAGTTCCTGGACCAGCATTGGGTTATTCAAGTGATCCGCCAACCCAGCTGCCTCCAAATGATCGCACAATTGCTTTACAATAATGCCGAAGTGGAGAGAGATTCCCAACTTTTCGGCTTTAGAAACGGGGGCTCTTTCAACCTTCATAAGAAGCGCTTTCAAAAGTTTCTCCGGTTTTCCAAACAAATTTCGGAGATCGCTTATCACTTTCGGAACTGACTCCGGTAAGATCAATCGGCTTCTGACGGCCTCGAGGGCCTCTCCTTGCAGGCAGTCCTGGAGTCTCTTTAGGTTGTCCAGGTTTGTAAACCCGCAAGCTTTGGTCGTGTTTTCAAACCTGCTGATAAACAACGGCCAAATCTCGGACTCACCCTTGAAGATCGGAAGCTGCTTCGACATTACTGGGCGTGCAGCAAATTGGTCCTGCGTTAACCACTGCCCCGGCCCGTGTGGCCTTTGTTCCCTCTGTCTCGGCAGACATGGCCTCGTTATCTTCCTCGACACTGCTTTCTTTTTCCAACAAAGCTCTCAATCTCTCAATCGTCGACAACTTCTTCTTGGCCGGTGTCCTAACTTCCCTCATCACTGGTATCTTCTGATACGCTCCTCGGCGATCATCTTTCTCCATCCACTCTTGCAGCCAATTCTTCACTTTGTCCTCCGTTGGGAGCTCCGATGGCTTATCTTCTTCGAAGTCACCACCCACAGCACCATCCTTGTCTGTTGGAGTAAATCGGTAACGCAGTGTGCTGATCACCTCCTTGGAGACCGAACGTCACCCCTAGCAACCTAAGTTTTCTTAAATAAACAACGGTGAAAAACTTTTCATTCCTGTTCAAGACTCCACTCAAGCTAGTCGTTAAATAAAATCCATTCTACTTTTAAACTTTGCTGTTCCGGTTCTTTCTAACCATCAAGAGGTTATGGGCGACTCACGCAAGGATTTGGTCCACGGGATCCCGCAGTTCTCGGGCACCGGTTTCGACAATTGGCAATTTCGAGTGGAGAAGTATCTGAAGTCCGTGAAGCTGTTGGATATCATCAAGAAGGATCCTCCGATGGAAGCAGCCGAGCTCACGAAGTTCCAGGAAGATGACGGTAAGGCGGCGTTCCTGCTGACGTCATTTGTTCATGACGACTTGCTGCATTTGGTGCGGGACAAGGAGACGTCCAAGGAGATGTGGATGAGCCTTGAATCCGCCTACGCCAAGAAGTCCGTCTCGTCGCAGACATTCGTCAGGAAGCAACTTGCGAAGCTACGAATGATGGAAGGTTCGTCTGTGAAAGATCACCTGAAAACCTTCGAAGAGCTGATCCGACAACTGAAGCTGGCCGGAGCGAAGCTTGAAGAGAACGATATTGTGTCCCAGCTGTTTGCTACCCTTCCCGAGTCGTTCGATCCGTTGGTTACGGCACTGGAAAATCTAGGTGAGGAAAACCTAAAACTGGATGTTGTTCACGAGTGCCTTCTTGCCGAGGAGCTCAAGAAAACCGACCGGGCAGCGGATTCCTGCCAAGAGAAACCTGCAGCATTCCAAGGATCGAAGCAGAAGCCTGGTAAGTTCACCGGAAAGTGTAACCGTTGCCAGAAGATGGGGCACAAGGCCAAGGACTGTCGTGTGAAGTTGAAGACAGATGGGCGCGCTGAAGCTAACGCTGCTGCTGGAGGTAAGGCGGTGGCTTTTATGACCGGGAGATGCTCCCAAACAAAGGACGAGGGAGCAGTTTCCTTTAAGCTGGATTCCGGAGCCGCGGACCACCTTGTGAATGTGAAGCACTGTTTCGCCGACCTCACGAAGCTGAAGCACCCTGTCGTCATAAACGTGGCGAAGGATGATCAATCCCTGATTTCCCGGCACAGTGGCACGATCAACGGCGTCAACAAGGAAGGTAACTATATCAGCTTGAAGAACGTCCTCTTCGTACCAGATCTTCGAGCGAACTTGCTATCTGTGAAGAAGATGGCAAAAGCGGATCTTGATGTCACATTCACGAAAAAGGAAGCGATCATGAAGCAAGGTCGTGACCTGATTGCGAGATGTCCCATGCGGGGCGATTTTTACGAGCTCGATCTCCGTGTCGATACGGTGGCGGCCAACATGTGTGGAGCTGTGACTGGTAACCTGTGGCATCGTCGACTGGCTCATTTGGGGAGCAAGAGTTTGCAGACACTCGCGAAGCATGGCATGGTAACAGGTATTCCCGAGAAACCAGATAAATTGGATTTTTGTGATGTTTGTGTTCTCGGAAAGCAGTGCCGAGAACCATTCACGGGTACTAGAGTCCGTGCTACAAGACCTCTAGAACGAGTGCACTCCGATGTGTGCGGTCCAATTACACCAGCGGCTTGGGATGATTCTCGGTACTTCGTCACCTTTATTGATGATTACACGCACTTTGCAGTAGTATATCCCATCAAGAAGAAGTCCTAGGTGTTCCAGAAGTTTCGAGAGTACGAGGCCATGGCGAGTGCCGCTCTGGGACATTCGATTTCGAAGCTGACTGTCGACCAAGGGCGCGAGTATTGCTCCAATGACCAGCGTGATTGGTACGTTTCCAAGGGGATCCAAGTCGAGCCAACCGCAGCGTACACACCACAGCAGAATGGAGTGTCCGAACGGTTCAATCGGACAATCGTCGAAAAGGTGCGTGTGATGCTGATTGAAGCCCAAACTCCGAAGAATCTGTGGAATGAAGCGGTTCTAGCGGCGGTATACCTGACGAACAGAAGTCCAACCACCGCGGTATCTGATTGGAAGACTCCTGCGGAAATGTGGACTGGTCACAAGCCGGACGTTAGTAAACTACGTGTGTTCGGCTGTAAAGCATTTGCTTGGGTGTCCACGGCACAGAGGAAGAAACTGGATCCGAAAAGCAAGCCTGCTGTGATGATCGGCTATGCGCCGAACGCCTACCGCCTGTGGAACAAAGAGAAGAAGCAGTTATTCCTAGCCAAAGATGTCAAGTTCAACGAAAACAGTTTTCCGTTTGCCACCCAGATCCGTGACGAAACTCCTTTGGTTGTTGCTCCGTACGAGTTCGAGGATCAAAATGAGGAAGACGTGCAAACCCCTGAACAGTCCGTTCAACCCGATGAGCCGCTGGTGGCTCAACATGACGACATCCTGACTGATGATGAAGAAGGCGAGGTTGAAGACGACGGTGTTGAAGAAACCGGAGCGCTCCCTTCGCAACTAGACCGTGGTTCAAACCTCGAAATGGAAACCCCGAGGCGCAGCGAACGGGAGCGCAGACTCCCCGGTAAGTTGAAAGAATTTCTGGTTGGAAAAATTTTCACTGCCGCGCAATCCCATTCTGCAGATGTTCCCCATAACGTTTCCGATGTACTATTTGACGGTTCCGTTGGACGAGATGAGGCCGAGCGTTCGATCTTCGATGTCCCGGAGGCGTACAAGGAGATCGCTGGACGAGCCGACGAAGCTCTTTGGCAGCAAGCGGTCCGTGAGGAACTGCAGTCGCTAGCGGACAACCATGCTTGGCGATTGGTGAGATGCCCTGCTGGTGTGGTTCCGCTCAAATCGAAATGGGTCTTCCGAATCAAGCCGGACGAGCATGGCGAACCGATCCGTTACAAGGCGCGCTTGGTGGCGAAGGGATTCCAACAGAAGCCCGGAGTCGACTACAACGAAACATATTCCCTCGTAGCAAAGTTAGCCACGATACGAACCGTTCTTGCTGTAGCAACCCACCGAAGGATGCACGTTCACCAACTCGATGTGAAGACCGCATTCCTCTACGGTGAGCTTGAAGAAGACGTCTACATGGCCATACCCGAAGGAGTTGCAGCACCGCCGAAC